CTTTTCTGTTTGCCGCGGCAAGGGCCTTTGAACTCCGGCAGATTAATGGATCTGGGAGCTGCGCCAGAGCATTCGTGAGTAATGGGCTGCTGAGATAAGGGGTCTTTGAAGTGAATAAGATTCACGGCTCAAGTAAAAGACTGAGATGGATCTTTTACAATCCTCAGAAGCTGCTCCGTCTCCACCAAAGCTAAATGGCCACAACTATCAGACCTGGGCAAGGTACTGTGAGGGCCAGATGAGAAAGCTTGGAGTGTGGAATACCGTTTCTGAGGACCCCCCAGCCCCTGTGACAGATGAATGGACGGCACAGGACTCAAGAGCCATGGGGATAATTTTGCTCTCAGTAGCTCCTGAAGAGTTAATCACCCTGGCTGGCAAGGCCAGTGCCCGTGAGATGTGGGACGGGCTTAGAGCCTGTCATCTCCGACAAGAGGCTGGGTCTGTGTTGCTTTATTTCAGAAAGCTGCACAGGAAGCGTTTGGAGCCAGGGGAAGACCTTAGAGCCCACGTTTTACATTTGCAGCATCTCAGACAGGAATTGACTCAGAGAGGTTTCAATATGCCTGAGTCACTGTTTGCAATTCTCATCCTGGACTCCCTGGATGAAAGCTACCATGCCGTGGCAAGTCAGCTGGCGACCCTCCCTGCGCAAGACCTCACTGCTACAAAGGTCTTGGCGACTTTGCAAAACGAATACGATAGAAGGAATGCAGCTGAGTCGGCTTGTGCGCTCCAGGGGAGCAATGTGGGACAGCATTCCAGCCTCCAGGGGAGCCAAAGCGTTGGCAGCTGTGAAGTGCTGGAACTGTGGGACCCAAGGTCACACTCAGAAGTTTTGTCCAAAGACTGGAAATAAACAAAGGAAGAAGCCAGCAGATGGCAAGAAGCAGAGGGGGGGTGGAAAGCCCAAGCCAGGGAAAAACAATGCTTTGTTTGCTGGCACAGCCTCACCAAAGGCTAAAGGCAAGTCTGATGGCCAGGAGCAGGGGGGCAAGCTGCAAAAGCCCACGCCGGTGGAAAACAAGGTTTTGCTTGCTGCAAAGACTGCGCCGAAGGTCAAAGCCAGGTTTGTTGTTGATTCAGGCTGTACCCGCCATGTGTCGAAAGACCACCACCTATTTATCTCCTTCAAACCTCAAGAAGGTGAGATCCACCTGGCTGACGGAAAGACATTGCGGATCGCAGGAGAAGGGACTGTGAAACTGGCAAGTCTGCACACTACCATCAAAGATGTACTTTATGTTCCAGGTGCTGCAGACAATTTGCTCAGTGTCCCACAGCTGACTGGGCTTGGTTTTGAGATTTCCTTCAAGAGGAGCGTCTGTGTCATCAGAAAAGGCAAAGAGGACATTTTGCATGCAAAGTTTATGGATGGCTTGTTCTGTATAACTTATGATGACATTGGTGCTGTTGTGTCTAATGTTGATTCTTGTTGTGTTGCACAAACTAACAAAGTTCTTCATGCAGGATGCATTCACGATGCACACAGAAGGTTTTGCCATCTCTCTTGGAAGGCACTGGCCAAGATGCCAGAGATGGTTGAGGGTTTGAACATCAAACCCTGTAAGTTTCACATGAAATGTGTATCTTGTGCAGAGAACAAGGTGAAGGTTGCTCCAAAAGGCAAGGAGTCTAGCAGGCAGGCTTCCAAACCCTACCAGCTAGTGCACGCAGACCTGGTTGGTCCACTTGCGCCCTCTTTGGGTGGAGCAAGGTACTTCATGGTTCTAATTGATTCTTTTTCCAGGTACATTCATGTGTTTATGCTCGAGCAGAAATCGCAAGCGTTTCCTAAGTTCAAGGCATTCTGTGCTTGGTTGGAGAATGTTCACGGTAAACGTATTGGCTGTCTGTTTACTGATCGAGGCGGGAGTTCACTTCTCAGCAGTTTGAAGCTTTCCTGACTGAGAAGGGAATCCAGCATGACTTGTCAATGCCTAGATCGCCATGGATGAATGGGCTTGCGGAGCGAGCAAATCAAACGTTGCTGCAAGGAATGAAAACATTGTTGCATGATGCCAATCTCCCTGATAAGTATTGGGGGGAGGCTCTGTCGAATTTTGCTTACACTTATAATCGCAGATTGTCATCACCTATTGGTTGTACCCCTATGAGAAGATGTTTGGTAAGAAACCCAACATCAAGCACATGAGAATCTTTGGTTCTGACATGTGGGTACACACCCCACAAAGCAACAAGCTTGGGAAGCGTGGGGCACATGGTTTGTTCATGGGGTACGAAAAAGGTGCATACAGGGTATGGATGACCAACTCTAAATCCATTAAGTTCACAAAGAGTGTTGAGTACAATCCTAAGTGGGGGGAAAATGTGGGAATTTTCCAGAGTTACCCAGAGGAGGATGAAGGTGATGTCAAAGAAGCAGCTAAAGCTGAGGAAGCTGCTGAGGATGATGATGACGATGATGATCAGAGTTCGGATTCCAGTTCAGTGGGCGGCGCTGCTGCTGGTGTCAGTGACAGTGATGACACAGCAGACTACAAGAGCGCAAAGGCCTCAGTCAGACCATCTGATGCGTCTGACAATGAACTGGAAGAACCACTGTTCACCATTGGTCACTTTTCTCCTAAGAAAGAGGAGATGAGTCCAGAAGACTTGCGTCTAGTACGCAGATCTGAAAGAGCCACAAAGGGCAGACCTCCAAAGAGATTTGCTGATGAGTTTGCTAAGACAGCAACTGCTGTTCTTAGTAGCTCAGAGAAGGTGTGGGAACCTTCAAGCTTCAAAGAGGTTCAGGAGTTAACCTCTAAAGATGCTGAGCCTTGGCTTAATGCCATGAAGGCTGAAGTTGATTCCTTGAATAGGAACCAAACTTGGGAACTGGTACCGGTAGTCCCAGGAATGAGACTGGTTGGCAGCAAATGGGTCTTCAAGGCCAAGACAGACCAGAATGGCAAGGTTGTCAGACACAAAGCCAGATTGGTTGCCAGAGGTTTTTCACAGGTACCAGGACAGGATTACCACGAGACCTACTCACCCACCGTCAAATATGAGAGCATTCGGCTGATGCTCAAGATAGCTGCAGAGGAGAAACTGCATGTTTCCCATCATGACATTAATACAGCTTGTTTGTACGGGGTTTTGGGGGAGGAGCTGTTTATGCTTCCACCTGACGGGATGCAGATACAGAAGGGAATGGTCTGTAAACTGCGGAAATCCTTATATGGTCTCAAGCAGAGTGCCAGGTGTTGGAACACAAAACTCACTGAGACATTGCTTTCTCTAGGTTTTCACCAGGGCAAAGCTGATCCATGTGTGTTTGTCAAGGAGGAGGGGCAAAACAAACTGTATTGTTTATGTTTTGTTGATGATCTTCTGATGTTTTGGAAGAATCAGGCTTTGTACCAAAGCACCCTAGCTCAGCTGAAGGAGCACTTTGACATGAAGGATCTTGGTGAGGTATCCAACTATCTTTCTCTGCAGGTGGAGAGGGACCAAGCAGGTAATTTTCTGGTACACCAAACACAGAAAATTGCTGATGTATTAACCAGGTTGAATTTGGTTGATGCAAACCCAGCAGACACACCGATGGTGACAGGTTACCAGGTAGACAGTACTGCTGAAGCGTTTTCTGACACAACGCTGTACAGATGCATTCTAGGCAAGTTGAATTTCATTGCTAGATGCTCAAGACCTGACATAGCTGTAAGCTGTAACCTGCTTAGCAGACATGCTAACAATCCTACTGTTCAGGATTGGAAAGCTCTGAAGCGCATAGCCCGCTATTTGAAAGGGACTTTGCACTACAGGCTGAGGTTCACCAGTCAGAAGACTGGAGGTCTTGAAATCTTTGCAGATGCAAGTTTTGGAAGTGACACCACGGATGGTACAAGCACTTCTGGAGTATGCTACATGTACAACCACTGTCTGTTTGACTGGTTGTGCAAAAAGCAGATGACAGTGAGCCTAAGTTCCTGTGAAGCAGAACTCAATGCTCTGTCATTTTCACTCATGGATTGTGAATGGTTGATGCAACTGTTTAAGGACATCGGAGTTTCTGTGAAATGTCCTGTACAAGTGTATCAAGACAATAGATCCTGTTTGGCTTTGCTGAACTCAGAGAGTTGCAAGCAAAGGACCAAGTACTTGCAGATTAAGCTACATCGTGCAAGAGAGTGTATTCAGAAAGGACTCATTCAGGTGTCCTACATGCCAGGAAATGAAATTCCTGCTGATCTGTTGTCTAAGGTTGTTAACAGAGAACAACTTAAGGTTTACGTACAAAGGTTGCAATTGGGTTGAACCACAGGTACTACAGGTTACACGGAAAGGGGGAGGATGTTAGGATATTTCCGTTCCACCTTAAAAGGGAGCAGGCTTTGTGAGTCAGAGTCTGCGTATTTCCTGTTCACAGGATGTTTATGTTTTCTGTTGCTTTCGTTTTCTCTCGGTGTCGCAGACACTAATAGCAGTCAGTCATGTTTTTCTGTGTTCTGATCAACGCTGAATAAACTTGTAAATAATGCTCTCCTGAGTGCAACTTTTGGCTGTGCTAATTGCTGATAGAGTGTGCATGAGCTCTAGAATGTGGCAAGATATTTTCTAGAAACTCATGTCGCTGCGTGCCTACGGGAGGTCGATGGATCGTCCGGCAGACGGCTTGGGGGCCTTGATGGACTTTATCTCCCTGGCAGTATCCCAACAGATGTAACAGTCATGGCCAAATCTGCTTGGCCATCCAGTTGGCCCACTTGTCCAGCCACACAAGTTATTGGTGTGGGAGGTGAATCACAGGCACGGCGCAGTGTCCATCCAATTTTCATCCAAAGCGATAGCGGGGTTCAGATCACCCTCTATCCGTTGATAATGGACATTCCAGTCTCCTTATGGGGGCGCGATATTTTGGCCATAGCAGACACCAAATTGGAGTCAAATTTATTCTAAGGGGCCTGCACTACCCTACACGGCACTGCCGTTACGATGGATCACCAATACCCCAGTGTGGGTAGAACAGTGGCCCCTACCAAAAGAAAAATCCGCAGCGGCGGCCCAGCTTAATTCTGAATAATTGACTTTCGGCCACATTGAACCGTCCTCATCCCCCTGGAACACCCCAATTTTCGACATTAAAAAGAAATCGGGGAAATGGCGCCTTTTGCAGGATCTGAGAAAAGTCAATGAACAAATGCAGCCAATGGGGACTTTAAAACCTGGCATGCCAAATCCAAATATGCTCCCGCGTGAATATCAGTTGGCGGTGATTGATTTAAAGGACAGTTTCTTTTCTATCCCACTGGCCCCAGCAGACAGGGAACGGTTTGCTTTTACATTGCCAGTATATAACAATTCGAAGCCCACCCAGCGATATCAGTGGGTTGTCCTGCCTCAGGGCATGCGGAACTCCCCTACACTTTGTCAACATTTTGTGGGTGAAGCATTGAAACCTTTCCGCATGCGCCACCCAGAGGTGATATGTTATCATTACACGGATGACATTTTGATTGCTGCGAAGAAACTTCCGCCTGGCATTTTTCAATAACTTTCTGCCACGTTGGTGGAAGCGGGACTCTGCGTAGCGCCTGAAAAAATTCAATTGACGTTGCCCGCCACCTACTTGGGACATAAAGTCACTGCACAAGCAGCGCTGCCTATTGTTCCCCAATTGACTATCCCTTCTGTGGGAATGTTCTGGGGTGCAGGAGAGGATATATTGACTAATTATATCCTTATCCAACTTGTGCTAACAAGTTCCCAAAATAGCAGCAGAGTTTATAAACATTCCCCTTTAAGTTCGCAACGGTAACGTGTGCACAGGTTCACTAGAACCTCTATAATAATTACTCTGGTAATTTCCCCTTTTGTTCCCTCTTAAAATACAAGACACGACACAGTCTTTATAAAAGTATAAAAGAGTTTACTCACGTTCTGTTCACAATATGATCCCAGAAGGCAGACAGCTTAAAAAGGTTACATACATTCAGAATCTATCTTGTAGCAAGATAGTCCTTATCTCCTCTCTTGGCTGAGAGCCAAGAGGGCATCCTTAGATGTTTCCTCATTGAAAGAAAAAAAACAGAGAGAGAGAGTGGCTGCCTGCCCTGTGCTTTTGTCATTACCTGCACAGGTGAGGCCACACCCACCTCTGGTCACATGCGGAGGAAGTCGTCCCCAGGAAGTTTACCTGCTTGCTGGACAGACATCCCTCCCCATGTTCTAACATGTACACTCTAGGAATGTTGTCATTGACTGCTCCTGTGTTTACATCCCACACCTTCAAGCATGAAGCTTGTGGAATTACAGCAACATCATGGGCATTTGAATTGGGCTCGCTCTTTCCTTGCATTACCTACCAGCACATTATCACCATTGTTTTCGGTGCTCACGGGACACAAGGATCCAGCAGATGTAATCCAGGTCACCCCAGCAATGATCACTGCATTACAGACCGTTAATCAGCACCTGCGATCTATTCTCGTGGACAGGATCACAGAAGCCTCTGCACACGAGCTGCATCTGGCAGTGTTTGTCACCATTGTTGCCAACAGGAATTTTATATGCTCAGACGGACAAGAGGAAGACTATCTGCATTATAGAATGGCTACATTTGCCACATACCCCACAAAAAAACATTTATTCAGTAATTGAATCCACATAAGACATTGTCATTAAAGGACGTTCTCGCGCCATGGCCTTGAGCGATTTTGATGTTGCATCAATTTATTTGCCTTTCTCACAGACTGAACGGCAGCATTTATTGATAACTAATGCTGCCGTGCAAATCGCCTTGGCTGATTTTGTTGGTGTCATCATTTTCAACCCTCCGAAGGATGACCGTTTGACTTTTCTGACACAAGTCACCTATGTTTTGGCCATCCCCTTGTGTCTCACACCTCTTCCCTCTGCATTGACCCTCTTCACGGATGGAACAAAAAGTAGGGGGGTGGTGACATGGGAGGAGGGAGGAAAATGGAAATGTTTATTTACCCCTCCACAGTCCTCTGCTCAGTGAGCTGAGCTAGCGGCTGTGATTCTTGCCTTTCAATCCTTTTCTACTCAACCTTTCAATCTTATTGTGGATACTCAGTATGTATATCGCATTTTTGCTGTTTTACCAATATCTTATGTAACTCCTTCCTTGGATTCTGACTTGTTTTCCTTGTTTCTTGCCCTGCAAACCTTACTTCAGCACAGAGAGTTCCCTTATTATGTTGCACATCTTCGCTCTCACACATCACACCCAGGGTATTTAGCAGAGGGCAATGCAGGAGCAGATGCGGCTTTGAGGGACATTTCTGCCTTTTCTCTCTTTTCTGATCCTGTACTATGTCATAACACCTTTCACCTCCCTGCGAAAGCATTGGCAAAGCAGTTTTCTATTCCTTTGGCCCAAGCAAAGGATATTGTTTCCCAATGTGCTTCTTGTTCTAAATCACCGCTGGCCGTTCCTTTTGATGCTGTCAATCCTAGGGGCACGTCTGCATTGGCGTGTTGGCAGATGGATGTCACACACACACCTGTGTTGGCTCCACTCTCCAAGGTTCACCTCACGGTGGACACCCACTCTGGATTCATATGGGCTACGCCCATGAGGGGGGAAACAGCTCGTCATGTGATCCAGCACACTATTCGCTGTTTCTCAGTCATGGGTAAACCTGCACGCATGAAAACTGATAATGGTCCAGCATATATTTCTAAAACATTTTCGGAATTTTGTATGTTGTGGAATGTGAAATTAACTCATGGTATACCCTTTAACTCCACAGGACAAGCTATAGTGGAAAGAGCACACCTGACATTCAAAACACTGTTGATTAAGCAGCTTGGCGGCCGAAGCATACCAACAGCAGATATCCCTTCGGCAGTCCACCAAGTTCTTTTTGTACTTAACCATCTTTTATATCCACATCTTAGGACCCATACCCCCGCTGAATTGCATTTTAGGAAGGAGGAGGCACTCCCCCGCCCCTTGGTGGTGTACCGACGCTTGCCTGATCCCGCGTGGCATGGACCTGTCCCGCTGATCACGTGGGGACGAGGGTACGCAGCAGTGGACGTCGAGGACAAGCCTTTGTGGGTTCCAGCTCGATGCGTACGGCCATGGCGAGTCCCTTCAACTGCGGAAGTGCCTTCCTCACCATCATCCTCGCCATCCTTTGCTGCACCGTTATACAAGGAAGAGAAGCAGACGACCCAGTCCAGTTGAAACCACCATATTTCACCTTATCAGCTGGCAAGCTGCTGCTGTCAGAATTCTACTCTGGCTGGCAGTATCCACGGCTCAGCCACTCTCGAATTAGAAGAATGGCGTTGTTGAATAAGACTTTTAGGGGAGAAAATTATCATAAGATTTGGAGGGATAATATTTTTGTACAAGATATGATTATGTTTGCCAGTTTATTGCATGCTTCTAAATGTTGGTTGTGTATGCACATGCCCCCTTTTGCCCGTCATTCAGGCTTAATGCTTCAAGGTGTGCCTGTTAATGGATCTTTTCAATTTACAAATGTTATATCCCCTAACCCAACTTCTTGGCCTCCAGTACAATTGACCCTCCATGAGCCTGCCCCCATTTGTTTTCAAATTAAAGAGGGGAAAGAATCATGGGGCATATATCCAAACTGTCAATATACATTGAATTTCACTTTTAATAGCTCTTGTTCTCTTACAGGAACATACAGTGACCAATCTCAGTGCTATAGGAGTGACACCAGTGCATGGCTAAAAACTAGAAAGGAAGCCTACCATGCAAATTGGAGTCTGAATTCTTCTATCCCTGGCTTAGCAAATGCCACAGATGAGCAATCTCATATCAGTTCTTTATTTACTGCAGCCTTTAATTGGTCCCAACAGAGTAGTAATATCAGCTATTTACTCCAAAGAGAGTTATGGTTGCTTTGTGGCGAAAAAGCATACAAAGCCATTCCTCGAAACCTCACAGGCACATGTACATTGGGTCTCGTGGTTCCATTGTTGTATAAGGTTGATAAGTTACCATCTTCTCTTAGACTACGAAATCGCCGGGAGGTTAATTCTCCCATAAATCAATATACCAGTACCCAGATTTCTCGAACCTTGCTGCCCTCAGTGGGCGCAGCAATGAACTATAGGGACCTCCATCGGCTAGCAAATTGGACAGAAGGATTATTCAATGATACCATAAAAGCATTGAAGAATCTCAACAAGGAGGTGTTTGAAATGAGAGAGGTGGTATTACAAAACCGCTATGTTTTGGATGTCATTTTGGCCTCAAAAGGAGGGGTATGTGCACTTGTTCATTCTCATTGTTGTATGTTTATTCCTGATAATAATGTCAGCGTATCTGCGACGATCGATCATATGGAAACCATATGTAGCCCACAATCTGTTTGCCCCCCCTCCTTCCGTTGATCCATGGGCATGGTTATATTCTTGGCTTCCGGATGGGAGTTGGCTTCGACATTTATTGATTTTAGTGATCCTTATAGTAGTTATTTGCATTATTTTGTGTTACTGTATACAATGTATTCCTTCTTTAATCTCTGTATGTACTGCATGGTTCTCCCGTCAGCGGCCTGCTTCAGGCCTTACAAGGGTCGCCTATTGTGCTCGGTATAATCGTATTGGTAATGAAATATATGACTCTGACTAATAAAATAAAGAAAGAGGGCATGTGGGAGCCATAAAGCCATGGCAGAGGCTTATAGTGCCTCGTGGTGCCTCGCTGACCTCGGTGACCGGCAAGTCTGTGCTTTGCAGTGTATTGAGTGTATTGACCTTATATGGAGTTGTGTTCCCTCTGGGCAGTAATTACCTTATATGGAGATGGGTGTTGTAAAGCCATGATTGGGCGATGTAATGTGAGACATTGGCAGACGGCTATGCAGGCGGAGAGACAAAGGATAATTAAAAAATACCGGACAGGAGAGAAGTTCGAATGAGCTGCCCTCCACCTAGAAAATACTGTTGTCTCTGTGTGTTTTCTATGCTGCGCACCATTTGATGACGGCTGGTTTCCGTCACTGGGATTATTCTGGACTGCATGTTCTGAATAACTGTTGCTACAGATGATCAGTCTTCTCCGATAAAGAAAACAATGCCCAACCTGAAGAATTTGGAGCAAATGATTCAGCAGAGGAAACACAGCCCAGAATAACTAAGGACATAGTACAAGAATACTTGGCTAGTTTAGATGTATTCAAGTCTCCAGGGCCAGATGAACTGCATCTAAGAGTATTAAAAGAACTGGCAGATGTGATCTCAGAACCACTGGCAGTCATCTTTGAGAATTCCTGGAGAACAGGCGAAGTCCCGGCAGCCTGGAGGAGGGCAAATGTTGTCCCTATTTTCAAAAAGGGGAAAAGAGAGGACCCAAATAATTACCGCCCAGTCAGTCTGACATCAATACCAGGGAAGATTCTGGAGCAGATCATTAAGCAAACAGTCTGTGAGCACCTAGAAAGGAATGCTGTGATCACCAATAGTCAGCATGGATTTCTGAAAAATAAGTCATGTCAGACTAACCTGATCTCGTTTTTGACAGAATTACAAGCCTGGTAGATGAAGGGAACGCAGTGGATGTAGCCTACCTTGATTTCAGGCAAGGCATTTGACAAGGTGCCTCATGATATTCTTGTAAAGAAGCTGGTAAAATGCGGTCTTGACTATGCTACCACTCAGTGGATTTGTAACTGGCTGACTGACCGAACCCAAAGGGTGCTCATCAATGGTTCCTCTTCATCCTGGAGAAGAGTGACTAGTGGGGTGCCACAGGGTTCTGTCTTGGGCCCGGTCTTATTCAACATCTTTATCAATGACTTGGATGATGGACTCAAGGGCATCCTGATCAAATTTGCAGATGACACCAAACTGGGAGGGGTGGCTAACACCCCAGAGGACAGGATCACACTTCAAAACGACCTTGACAGATTAGAGAACTGGGCCAAAACAAACAAGATGAACTTTAACAGGGAGAAATGTAAAGTATTGCACTGGGGCAAAAAAAATGAGAGGCACAAATACAAGATGGGTGACACCTGGCTTGAGAGCAGTACATGTGAAAAGGATCTAGGAGTCTTGGTTGACCACAAACTTGACATGAGCCAACAGTGTTGACGCAGCAGCTAAAAAAGCCAATGCAATTCTGGGCTGCATCAATAGGAGTATAGCATCTAGATCAAGGGAAGTAATAGTGCCACTGTATTCTGCTCTGGTCAGACCTCACCTGGAGTACTGTGTCCAGTTCTGGGCACCACAGTTCAAGGAGGACACTGACAAACTGGAACGTGTCCAGAGGAGGGCAACCAAAATGGTCAAAGGCCTGGAAACGATGCCTTATGAGGAACGGCTAAGAGAGCTGGGCATGTTTAGCCTGGAGAAGAGGAGGTTAAGGGGTGATATGATAGCCATGTTCAAATATATAAAAGGATGTCACATAGAGGAGGAAGAAAGGTTGTTTTCTGCTGCTCCAGAGAAGCAGACACGGAGCAATGGATCCAAACTACAAGAAAGAAGATTCCACCTAAACATTAGGAAGAACTTCCTGACAGTAAGAGCTGTTTGACAGTGGAATTTGCTGCCAAGGAGTGTGGTGGAGTCTCCTTCTTTGGAGGTCTTTAAGCAGAGGCTTGACAACCATATGTCAGGAGTGCTCTGATGGTGTTTCCTGCTTGGCAGGGGGTTGGACTCGATGGCCCTTGTGGTCTCTTCCAACTCTATGATTCTATGATTATCAGACGGATATGGGAGTTTCCTTTTCATCTCTTTTTGTATTAAGATTCCTTTATTTTGAATTTAGGAGGACACACACAGGAAGAGGAGAGTTGGAGGTGGGAGAGACCTGCAAGGAACGCAGGGAAGGAAGGATCTCTCAGGGTGGGAGACAGGGAGAAGGGGGGGGTCACGCAGGGGAGAAGTGGGGGAGCCTGTCTTTCTGTGGGTTGATGAATGATATGATATATACGATACAAATGTGATAAAGGGTCTTTTAGTTATTCTCCCCCCCACTTTCTCTTTTCTATACAATTGTGTTTCGTTAGAGTTGTTAAATAATTTTTGCTTTATTATTTTTCTTTTTTGGTTTTCCCTCTGTATGGATTCTTTGATGGGAAATGAGACTTTCCTTCTGACTGAAGCTCTTTCCACATTCCAAGCACTGATATGGTTTCTCCCCTGAATGAATTCCTTGATGGGTCGTGAGATGGGTGCTTTTGTGGGATGTGAAACACAAGAGCAATCAAGTACAGTGGTACCTCGGGTTAAGAACTTCATTCGTTCTGGATGTCCATTCTTTTTTTCCCCCAAATTTTTTTTTATTCATTTTATATCACTTATAAACAACACAAACAGAAAAACAATACAAATTATTGTATTGTCCTTATTTTTTCTAAACATTGTTAGGTGGGCTTCCCCAAATCCCCCCTATCTGATGTTCATTATACCTCATCTTTAGCAGTTACATATATCATAATTTCTAACCATTTTTAAAATCACGCTTACTTTAACCATAAAAATCTTCACATTTTATTACTTACACTATCTTCTACTTCTAACCCTACAGCCTATATCCACTTCCAAAGCTTTTCTAAGATTTAAATATTAACATATTTTTTCAAATATTCCTTAAACTTCTTCCAATCTTCTTCCACCATCTCTTCTCTCTGGTCTCGGAATCTCCCAGTCAGCTCGGCAAGTTCCATATAGTCCATCATCTTCATCTGCCGGGTGTGTCCTAATGTAATTTTCAGAGATCTGGAATAATCTGCAAGCAAGGAGGGGCACTGAGTTCTTGTCCTTTGGCAACCCAGCAGAGAAGTTGACATGGACTCTCCCGCCCACCGTAACCTCCAATAAAAACCATTCTTTCAACCAGCAAAAGGCTGCTCCTTCAAAATAGATCCTTAAATCTGGCAGGAAGAAACCCCCTCTCTCTTTCACATCTGTTAATAATTTAATCTTAATTCTGGGTTTGCCCCCCTGCCAGATAAATTTAGATAATACATTTTGCCATTCCTTAAAACAATTCAACTTGTCAGTGATAGGGAGTACTTGAAACAAAAATAACAACTTAGGCAATACATTCATCTTTACCGCAGAAATTCGGCCCAACAAAGATAGTTTCAACCTTGTCCAGATGTCCAAATCTCTTTTGATATCCTTCCATAACTTTTCATAGTTGTCTTTATACAAATTCAAATTTTTGCAGTCATATTTACACCCAGATATTTCACCTTTTTCACAAACTTCAGCCCGGTGGTTTCCTCTAAATTAAGTTTTTCATGTATCGTTAAATTTTTTTCTAAGACTTTGGTTTTATTCTTATTCAATTTAAAACCTGCAACTTGTCCAAACTCTTGAATCATAGAATCATAGAGTTGGAAGAGACCACAAGGGCCATCGAGTCCAACCCCCTGCCAAGCAGGAAACACCATCAGAGCACTCCTGACATATGGTTGTCAAGCCTCTGCTTAAAGACCTCCAAAGAAGGAGACTCCACCACACTCCTTGGCAGCAAATTCCACTGTCAAACAGCTCTTACTGTCAGCAAGTTCTTCCTAATGTTCAGGTGGAATCTTCTTTCTTGTAGTTTGGATCCATTGCTCCGTGTCCGCTTCTCTGGAGCAGCAGCAAACAACCTTTCTCCCTCCTCTATGTGACATCCTTTTATATATTTGAACATGGCTATCATATCACCCCTTAACCTCCTCTTCTCCAGGCTAAACATGCCCAGCTCTCTTAGCCGTTCCTCATAAGGCATCGTTTCCAGGCCTTGGACCATTTTGGTTGCCCTCCTCTGGACACGTTCCAGTTTGTCAGTGTCCTTCTTGAACTGTGGTGCCCAGAACTGGACACAGTACTCCAGGTGAGGTCTGACCAGAGCAGAATACAGTGGCACTATTACTTCCCTTGATCTAGATGCTATACTCCTATTGATGCAGCCCAGAATTGCATTGGCTTTTTAGCTGCCTCGTCACACTGTTGGCTCATGTCAAGTTTGTGGTCAACCAAGACTCCTAGATCCTTTTCACATGTACTGCTCTCAAGCCAGGTGCCACCCATCTTGTATTTGTGCCTCTCATTTTTTTGCCCAAGTGCAATACTTTACATTTCTCCCTGTTAAAATTCATCTTGTTTGTTTTGGCCCAGTTCTCTAATCTGTCAAGGTCGTTTTGAAGTGTGATCCTGTCCTCTGGGGTGTTAGCCACCCCTCCCAGTTTGGTGTCATCTGCAAATTTGATCAGGATGCCCTTGAGTCCATCATCCAAGTCGTTGATAAAGATGTTGAATAAGACCGGGCCCAAGACAGAACCCTGTGGCACCCCACTAGTCACTCTTCTCCAGGATGAAGAGGAACCATTGATGAGCACGCTTTGGGTTCGGTCAGTCAGCCAGTTACAAATCCACTGAGTGGTAGCATAGTCAAGACCGCATTTTACCAGCTTCTTTACAAGAATATCATGGGGCACCTTGTCAAATGCCTTGCTGAAATCAAGGTAGGCTACATCCACTGTGTTCCCTTCATCTACCAGGCTTGTAATTCTGTCAAAAAACGAGACAGTGCTTTGATTGCACTGATCTCAGCGTCCTGTAAAGTCAATACCAAATCATCAGCAAACGCTTTTAACTAATATTGTTTAGTTCCCACTACTATGCCTTAACTTCCTCATCTTTCCTTATAATATTCAGCAGCACCTCTAGGACAGAAATAGAAAGCGGGGGGGGGGGGAGTGGGCACCCTTTCCTGGTTCCTGGTTCCCTTCTCAATCCTAATTTCTTCGGAGACCACATTGTTAATTATAATTTTTGCTTTCTGCTCAAAGTAAATTGCGTTAATACCATTTAGAAAGTTTTGACCGACCCCCATATAACATAAATTCTGTTTCATAAAACTCCAATAAACATTATCAAAGGCTTTCTCTGCATCAATAAACGTTAACATTGCTTTAGTATTCTTTTTTACCTCTAATCTTTCCAGCACATGCACTATGTTCCTAATATAGTGGTACCTCGGGTTAAGTAGTTAATTCGTTCCAGAGGTCCGTTCTTAACCTGAAGCACCACTTTAGCTAATGGGGTCTCCTGCTGCAGCCATGCGATTTCTGTTCTCATCCTGAAGCAAAGTTCTTAACCCAAGGTACTATTTCTGGGTTAGGGGAGTCTGTAACCTGAAGCGTATGTAACCTGAGGTACCACTGTATTATCTTTCATATGCCTCTCAGGTTAAAAACCTGATTGATCTTTATGTATGTGCTTATTCAAAACCTTCTTCAATCTTGTAGCCAAAATGTTTGCAAATATTTTATAATCGACATTCATTAAAGAAATTAGTCAGTAATTCTTTACTTAGAGCTCAAGTATCTGGTTTGGGCTTCAGAGTGATGAATGCCTCTTTCCAGGACTCGGGCGCTTTGTCCCCCTGTAAAATCCTGTTACAAACATCCATCAATGGTTGTATCAGCCAATCTTTAAATATTTTATAATTGTAGTGATCAACTATTTTGATATGATTCTTGATAGCAATCCCACCTGATCACTACATATAATATTTGGATGTTAAACCATCAGGTCCCGTTGCTTTGCCTATTTTCATTTGGTCAATTGCCACTTCAACTTCTTGTATTGTAATCAGTTCATTTAGTAGGTTCTTTTTGTCCGCTGGAATTTTATGCAATCCATTTTTGTCCAAAAACTCTTCCATTTTTTCATTTTCTTCTTTTTCTTTTTTGTAAAGCTGCTTGTAGTACTTTTGAAAGCATATTCTAATCTCTGCTGGGTTCTCAATATTCTTGCCATTCTCCATAATACTGATTATTGTACTCTCCTTCTGTCTCTTTTATTATTGCCAAGCCAATAATTTTCCACATTTATTTGCCGATTCAAGTCTTTTGTTTCATCAATTTAATTTTCCATTCAATTTCTTAGTTTACTATTTGTGAATACTGAAATTATAACGCTTTAATTTCCTTTTGAATCTGTTGGTTTTTGGGGGTTACATCTCAGTTTTTTCTCTTTCTCCTTCAATTGAGACAGAATTTTTTCATTTTACTCATTCTGTGCTTTCTTTCTGATCGAATTCTGTTGAATCAGAAAACCTCACATTACAGCTTTACTTGCATCCCATACGACCCTTGCTTCAATTCCGGGATTCAGGTTCAACTCAAAATAGTCCTTTAGGGTCTTCTGAGCTTTATTTACAATCAAATCATTTCTCAGTAAAGCATCATAACATACATAAAAGGGGATGTCTGGACCAGCCAGTCGGAACTTCCTGTTTCTCCTAGGCTGGGACAGTCTTCCTCTGCATGTGACTAGAGGTGGGCGTGACCTCACCTGCCCAGGCAACAGAAAAGCAGGAGTGTGTTGGGAAAGAATCATTCGGCACAGAAACATGTTTGTACCTTTAAGAACAGTTTTTGTGAGCTCTGGGCTAATTGGTTGCAGCTGGCCATGGCTACAAAAGGAGAAAAGCTGCAGTTTGTACTCTGCCTGCAGGAAAAACACCCACAAGCTTTGCTGTTTGTTGTTTTGAAATAGTCCTTATTTAATTTGGTTTTAAACCAGTCTCATGGAGTCACAGTCTTCTGTCATCTGACACCAGTGAAAAATCCCCCTCTGACAGAGTGGTCAGCCATCTCTCTCTCTCTGACCACATTCGTTGAAGAAGCAACATCTGCTTAGCCTAAGATGCTCTCTCTGCTTCCAGCCAAGAGAGGACAAAAGGACTGTCTCCTTATGGGATAGTTTCTAGGTATATTACTTCTCTAACTTAAGTCTGCCTTCTGGGATCCATTTGTGAACAGAATGTAAGTGAGTAAACTCTTTTTATACTTTTATAGAAGACTGTGTCATGTCTATCTTTTTATGAGGTAATAAAGGGGAATATTGCCAACGAAACGTATTTTAGAGTCTTTAACGAGCCTGAGCAAACGCATCCGCTGTGCAAGTTTAAAAAGGGGAATGTTACTCTGCTAAATTGTAGAACTTGTTAACACAAGTTGGGAAGGATATAATCAAACAATATATCCTCTCCTGCATCCCTGAACATTCCCACAGCTTTAACTGAAGCTCTTCCCACATTTAAAGCACTTATAGTTTCTGACCAGTATGAGTTCTTTGATGGGAAGTGAGACTGAAATGTGTGACGAAAGCTCTTTCCACACTCATGGCAATGAAAAGGTTTCTCCCCTGTATGAATTCTGTGATGGAAAGTGAGATGGGTCCTTTGACTGAAGCTCTTCCCACATTCAAAGCACTGATAGGGTTTCTCCCCAGTATGAATTCTGTGATGGGAAGTGAGTTCACCACTCTGACGAAAGCTCTTTCCACATTCCAAGCACTAATAGGGTTTCTCCCCTGTATGAATTCTTTGATGGGAAGTGAGTTCACCACTCTGACGAAAGCTCTTTCCACATTCCAAGCACTGATAGGGTTTCTCCCCTGTATGAATTCTTTGATGGGAAGTGAGTTCACCACTCTGACGAAAGCTCTTTCCACATTCAAAGCATTGATAGGGTTTCTCCCCTGTATGAATTCTTTGATGGGAAGTGAGAGGGGTCCTTTGACTGAAGCTCTTCCCACATTCCAAGCACTGATAGGGTTTCTCCCCTGTATGAATTCTTTGATGGGAAGTGAGTTCACCACTCTGACGAAAGCTCTTTCCACATTCCAAGCACTGATAGGGTTTCTCCCCTGTATGAATTCTGTGATGGGAAGTGAGATTATGCTTCTGAATGAAGCTCTTTCCACATTCCAAGCACTGATAGGGTTTCTCCCCTGTATGAATTCTGTGATGGAAAGTGAGATGGATCCTTTGACTGAAGCTCTTTCCACATTCCAAGCACTGATAGGGTTTCTCCCCAGTATGAATTCTGTGATGGGAAGTGAGATTATGCTTCTGAATGAAGCTCTTTCCACATTCCAAGCACTGATAGGGTTTCTCCCCTGTATGAATTCTTTGATGGGAAGTGAGATGGAAGCTCTTTCTGAAGCTCTTTCCACATTCCAAGCACTGATAGGGTTTCTCCCCTGTATGAATTCTTTGATGGGAAATGAGTTCACCACTCTGACGAAAGCTCTTTCCACATTCAAAGCACTGATAGGGTTTCTCCCCTGTATGAATTCTTTGATGGGAAGCAAGATTGTTATTCCGACTGAAGCTCTTTCCACATTCCAGGCACTGATAGGGTTTCTCCCCTGTATGAATTCTTTGATGGGAAGTGAGATGGAAGCTCTTTCTGAAGCTCTTTCCACATTCCAAGCACTGATAGGGTTTCTCCCCGGTATGAATTCTTTGATGCAAAGTGAGCTTCCGGCGGTTACTTAAACTCTTTCCACATTCCAAGCACTGATACGATTTCTCCCTACTCTGTGTTATTTCGTGTGAAGTGAGGCTATTCCTTCGAACGAAGCTCTTTCTTTGATGGGAGGTGGAATGGGAGCTCTGACCAATTTTCTCTCCACACTCTGAATATTTATATGACTTCTCCGCTATGTGGATTCTGTTGTGCTCCCCCTTGTTCTTCCCTTCCAATTTAGCACCTTCTGCAATGAAAAGAAAAACTAATTAGCTCCTCAAAAAGAAATGGAGCTCCGTATTATTGAACACAGTTAATGAATGCTTTTGATAGAGGAAGAACTGAAGGGAGTTATTGTCGGAAATCAAGCCTTTATCAGGAGAAAACTGGCAACTCTCCCAGGCACCCGGCTTGGTCTCCTGTTGACCTCCCTGTCTGCTTTCCCGGCAGGATCCAGGCAGAGGTCGCGATAGGCGATCCTTCTCAGCGTGAGAAGAACAACCACCCTCTTTCCTGCCCCCCCGGCAGGGGAAAGAGATAGACAGAAACGTATTTACATCGCCTTTATTTCTGTCTTTGCAGCGTTACAGAAAACATGACTGCTCTCTTCATACTCCTGCAGTCGAGAGTGAAACAAAACCTGTACTTTCTGTACAAGAGCAAAAGGAAGAGCTCATATTACACTCTGAGCTAATTCCAGTGCATTGCCCTGTGAAATGACTGTCCCTCTGTTTCCCACGGAACAGTCCCAACATTCCATCATGTGCTGTTTTCAAGCTAGCAGCTCGCGGCTGCATTGCTTCAATATTGTAACATACTCCCCCATATGAATCAATGTGTGCTGCGAGCAAAGCTTGATCCAGAGAAGAAAACAGTTGTTATAAATATAATACTCCCCTGTTGTTTCAGTTCCCCCCTTGGAACTACCCGCCACTGGTTTCCCCAGTGTACCTCTCTGGTTGTCTGACTTCCAAGGAATGAGTGAATCTGCATTACCTTGGCTAGGGAATGTAGTGTTACGCTTAGCAACTCTCTGTTGTGTCTTTGTCTCTGACTTAGACACAGCTTCAACCTGTCTTGTTGTCAACAATAGTAACACATGCTACAGCAGAGTTAGCAAACTCTTTTGAATACCTCTTGGGTGGTACACCCTTTGTAACTCTCTCGGACCTGCGTATGAGGTGTTGATCCTCTCTGCTCACTGGTTCAGTTTCAAGACTCTTTGGAGAACCAGTTCCAATAGTAAACAGTGGTTCATCCTTCACCTGTGAAGGTCTTTCAATTGTGTGAGATTTCCTCTCAATGACTGTGTCAACTGAGCTCTTTGAGCTATCACTGTCACTCTCAGTACCACTGTAATCAGTAAAATCATCATCATCATCTGAATTGTCCTCAGTGGGAAATGTGTGAACAATTACTCTCTCCTGTTCAGGAGCACTCTCTAGAAATTTTGTGAGAATCACCTGGCCAGATTCAGACAAAATTACTCTGTAGAGACCCTTTTCATAACCCACAAAAATGCCTCTAGCATTCTTTACTCCACCTGGAGCATCAGATTTCACATGAGACCCAAAAACCTTAAAATGGGCAACAGAAGGTTTTATGTGGAATAGCTTTTCAAAAGGAGAACTTCCTAAACCTTTTGAAACCTTTCTCAACCAAGAGTAACAATAACACAATAATGATTCCGCCCAATACTCATGTGGCAAATGTGAACTCAGCAATTGTGCCTTCATGCCATTTTGCAATTCTTTGTTCACTTGCACACAGACACTTTTGTTCCATGCATCTGCTGAAACAGCAGTTTTGTGCCTTATCCCTTTCTTATCCAGGAAATCCTGAAAATCCTGCAAAAGAAAAACTGGCTTTTCATCTGTGAAAAGACAATCAATGTTAGCATCATGAACATTCTTAACCTTGTCACAAAACTCTTTAAACCTTTCTAAGGCTTCTTGTGGTTTCTGCAATATATTTACCCACACATAATGAGAGAAATAATCCACACACACAAGATAATATCTTGCATTGCCTCTAGATGGTGCTAGAGGACCAATCACATCAGCATACACTCGCTGAAATGCCCTGTTAACCTTGGTCACCTTCTTGACGTCCTTCGTCATACCTGCAAGAGAAATCATGTTAGATTCAGATGCATTACAATTTATGCAATCACTTTGATCAAAAGTCAACAAATACAGTCCATCTATCTCTCTGGCAGAAAGATACAGCTCTCCATCTTTGAAGATTTTGCAGCTTTCTCTATCATAGGACAAAGTCAGTCCTTTCTTTGTGATCTGCGAAACACTCAGCAGATTGAACTTTAAATCAGGAACCAAATACACATTGTTAATAGTCAAGTTCAGACTCTCAAGATACACAGTTCCAAACCCGGTCGCTTTCAGCTCCTGGCCATTGGCCTGTTTCACAGTGAAGCTTTGCTTCTTAAACGTTGAAAACAGTTCTGGGCGCGACGTCATGTGTTGTGTGCATCCCGTGTCAAGAACAAAAGCGTTCTCCGTTGAAAATTCGGCTTTTGTTGACAGCAATGCTTTTGCAGGTTTCACCTGGGACTTGGTACGACTTTTGCCTGATGCCTCAGGCTTTGCAGAGCTTCCCCTAGCTCCTTTCTGCTGATGTGGCCTCTTACAGCTCCGCTGAAGTTGCCCAGGTTGGCCAGAATTGCGACAACAAACAACATTCAGAGCTTCAGCTTTCTCTTTCCTTGCAATGGCAGTGGGGGTGCTAGAACTCCGAGCCTCTCTCCCCCTGTCAGCAACATCCATTGCAGCAAGTACAGGAACAGCAACAGTTCCTTCACTCCCCCTTTTGGGGTCAAAGCTCTCCTCAGCTTTCGATGAGCTTTCAGGAACTTGGCCAGCGCCATCTTGGCTCTCCCCTTCTGGGGTAGTCAACTTTTGGCTCTTGCTTCTCACTCCAGCTTCACAAGCTTTTCAGAGCTTCTGAGAGAACAAAGCCATCTCAATCTCAAGCCTCAGCTATCTGCTGTGAGCTTGTAAAATCCAAGAGTCTATTGGCTTTTCACTGCGTTGCACTTGGCAGCTAAACGCAGGCTGTTTTGAAAGTCCCTCCAAGAGCAGTGAGATAGCAGACAAAACAAACGCTGGAATTTTTACCAGTGTTTTTCTAGCCTTTTACAGTCCCAGCCCCTTCTCTGTTGGCTAGTAACTTTCCACTTTACTGACGTTTTGTTGCTTAGCAACTGGACTAGCCTTATCAAGAATCAGGAATGCGAGGAATGTGGCTCTCTCTCAGTGCTGGTTTCATTTTCATCCAAAAGCAGACACTCAGTGAACCGAAGAATGCTTCAATTCGCATTCACTCTCACAGCCATAAAATCACCATACCTTGAGGGAATCCGTTGCTCAGCAAAAACACCTCCTCCGGTGCTCAGCCGTCCTTGTAGCTTCCATCTGCCCGCTACCACATTCTTTCTTTATCTCCTTGCAGAGGATGAAGTACGATCCATCAACCTCTCTTGTTGCTTTCATGGATCAAAACCATCCTCTGCTACCAGATGTCGGAAATCAAGCCTTTATCAGGAGAAAACTGGCAACTCTCCCAGGCACCCGGCTTGGTCTCCTGTTGACCTCCCTGTCTGCTTTCCCGGCAGGATCCAGGCAGAGGTCGCGATAGGCGATCCTTCTCAGCGTGAGAAGAACACACCCCTCTTTCCTGCCCCCCCGGCAGGGGAAAGAGATAGACAGAAACGTATTTACATCGCCTTTATTTCTGTCTTTGCAGCGTTACAGAAAACATGACTGCTCTCTTCATACTCCTGCAGTCGAGAGTGAAACAAAACCTGTACTTTCTGTACAAGAGCAAAAGGAAGAGCTCATATTACACTCTGAGCTAATTCCAGTGCATTGCCCTGTGAAATGACTGTCCCTCTGTTTCCCATGGAACAGTCCTAACATTCCATCATGTGCTGTTTTCAAGCTAGCAGCTAGCAGCTCGCGGCTGCATTGCTTCAATATCGTAACAGTTATATGTGAGGCCTTACTATATTTTTCACTTCCTTAGTTGGCTGGTATTAACTGAGATATTGCTTGGCTTTTATCTGGGATAGATTTTGTTTGGCTCAATCCTGGAATCCACTCCATCTCCAAGGTCAGTCATCTCTTTGGTCAATCAAATGCAAACAGAAGCAAAAACAACAAACCTGACAGAAGTTACTTCAACTTCCCTAAAAACTCTGAAGCTCTGGGTGAAAAATATTGCAGAGGTATAAATGTGATTTATGAGAAGCAGGAGGCTAGTCTGATAATTAATAGTGTCAAGACAGAACGCTTTCCAGTGGAGAAGGGCACCAGACAAGGATGTCCTCTCTCACCTTTATTTTTTAGATTGAAGTTAGAAATATTGTTGTAAGGAAAGACAAAGAGATCATAGGAATAACATTGGGAAAAGAGGTTTATAAGATCAGGGCCTTTGCGGATGATATTTTGTTAACAACAGAAGAACCAGAAGCAAGTATCACTAAAGCAATAAAGATAATATATGATTTTGGCAAGGTGTCTGGCTTTAAAATGAATATGGAAAAAACAATATACTTGGGTATAGATCTAACTATGAAGAATATCTATCTGTACAAAAATAATTATGAGAATGTTTGGAAAGGAATAAGTAAAGCTTTTGAAACCTGGAGTAGATTAAAGTCTTCATAATTAAAATGAATGTCCTGCCAAAAATGCTATATTTGTTCCAAACAATACCAATTATAAATAAAGAGAATTGCTTTGAAGAATGGAGGAAAGATATAACGAGATTTATATGGCAAGGAGAAAACCCGCGGATAAAGTATAAATTATTGACAGAAAGAAAGGAAAGGCGAGGATTAGCATTGCCAAATTTAAAATTATATTATGAAGCGGAATGTTTAATTTGGGTAAGAGATTGGATTAGATTGGAAAAAACGAATATATTGGATCTTGAAAGTTTTAATAATAGATACAGATGGCATGCATATCTTAAAAGTAAAAGGCAATAAAGAATTTACAAGTCATACATTAAGAGCTGCATTATATAAAGTTTGGAACAAATATAGATCACATCTGGAACCACAGACACCTTGGTGGATATCACCGCTGGAGGCATATGCTATCAAAAAATGGAATATGAGGACAAATTGGCCAACAAATAGACAATTCTTGGAAGAGGAACAGGGGAAACTGAGATTAAATCCTATGAAGACATATGGCAATATGAAGTTGACAGATGGTAGTATGTACAACTTAGAAGTATTCTCAACTCGGATTAAAAGAAAGGATTTGCAAAAGAAGATTCGAAATTTAACTTTACAGTGATACAGAAGAACGAGAAATTGTTATCCAAAACATATAATCTTTTATTGGACTGGGAACTGATGGAGGAAGAAGTGAAAGAAACGATGATTAAATGGTCTCAGGATCTCGGACATACTATCTATCTAGAGCAATGGGAGAAACTCTGGCGAGAGGATATACGATTTACTGCCTCATATAAAATCAAAGAAAATTTTGTAAAGATGTTCTATAGGTGGTACTTAATGCCAGTTAAGCTGGCAAAGATATACAAAATAAAATCCAACCTCTGTTGGAGATGTGGTGGAGAAATACGAACAACAATACATATGTGGTGGAGGTGTGAGGAAATTAAGAAATTTGAGATAGTAGTACACGAAGAACTAAAGAAGATGGGGAAAATATCAATAACAAAGAAACCAGAGACATATCTCCTTGGACTGATAGATGAAGAGATACCACGGGGTGGGGGAAGAATTTTTCTATATGCAAGTACTATGAGGAGAATCAGAACTTACAGGGTTAAACAGTTCTGTGTGACATTCTGAGGTGTGGTTTTGTTCACATACGGGAATCTTTCTTTGTGTGGGAGTTGCTTTCATTTTTAGCTGTCGAGCCGAGGAGATGTCCGCTCGATCTCCAGGTTGATTTATGATGTTTTTCTGTACAATGATTAAAGGCTTCTTAGATGAGCAAGAAGCCTGCATACAGCCTTGGATTTATCACCCACCCAAGGCACTTCCGCTGCTGCAAAACTCGGCTTGGAGCCAAGAAGACAGCTTCAGGCTCACAGTTGGCACGGAGAGTGGGCACAGGAAAGTGTGGCGGACGCCATTACATTCCACAAGTGCAGCTGCTAGAATAGTGATTGCTGCTTGGAGGAAGTCACAAACTATACCCACAAAGGAGGAATGGATTTGTAAACTAAATGAATATTTAATTTGGGCAAAATTAACTGCTATAAGAAGAAATCAGTCGAACAAAAATTTAAAAAGGAGTGGAAATGTTTTGATGAATATACGGCAAAATATTGCTCAAAAAAAGAGACGCTAATATGCCTAGATTAAAATGTGAAGTACTGGATGGAAGAAAAATTAGTAAGGAAAGATAATAAGAATATATAGGTGATTTGATAAGGTTGTGGAATTCAAAGATTATTGTAAATTGTATAATATGGAGGAAATCGAGTGGGGGCGGAGGGAAGTGGGAGGAGGGAGAAAAGGATAATATGATGGATTGAGGAAATTGAAATGTAAATGTATGGGGGGATGGGGAGGAAATGGTGTTGGCTTTGGTACATCTCTATTGTAATGCAATATGTGAAAACTAATCTTTTTAAAAAAGAGTCGTGGGTTCTAGTGCTGCGCGACGGATCAGTGTCTGACATTGGTAAGGCATTCAGATCACAGAACTGGTTTTAGACATTTTGAGCTGCCAATTCATCACGGTGGCCGGGGAGCTGTGATCTATTCCTAGCTCAAATTGCCTGCAGATGACAAAGGAGCAGGCAGGCAGGCAGGCAGGCAGGCAGGTGGGGGAGCCCGAAAAGGTGCTGCCCTTCTCCATCTCCATCTGCCTGCCTGCCTCCCCCCACCCCCTAGCTGAGCAAGCCCCAATTCCTCCCCAGCTCCATCCATCCACGTCCCCATCTTCCCTCCCCTGGAACTCACCAGATCTCTCGGAGGTCCCTGGGAGGGAGTGCTCAGAGGTTGTGGGGAGGGATGCAGGAGACAACCTGACCAGGTCATCCATCCATCTTCCCTCTTCCATCTCCTCTAGCTTGACAGGATCCGTCTCACTCATCCTTCCTGAAGAGTCAAGGAGCCAAAAGAAGCTGCAGGGTCCTGGGAGAGAGGAAGAATCAAAGGGAGCCTCAGAGGCCCTGCAGGGATTCTCCTGCCCTAGATATTCTCCTGCCCCTGGAGAAGCACAAATGGGGCGGCCCCTTCTCATCAGAAGCCTCATTTCGAAACCTCTCCAGTGGTTTCAATTTCCCCTGTTTGCTAATCACCCCACTTCGTAAGGCTGGCAAGGTCTGTCCAGTAGTGACCTCAAGGTGGAACCCTTGAACTCAGTGGGGACACAACTTGGTGCCAAACCCAGTCACCTTCCTGTCCCCAAGCCTGAAAACTGCAACCCCAGAGCATGGGCAGAAAATAGATGAGTAGCCATTACCTGTAGGTGCCCCCATGCTAGGTGCTTTGTATAGAGAGCCCTGCTGACGCTCTTTGAGCTCCCTCATCGCAAGCCAGGCAGATGTTGTGGCCATATTTGCCTCTGTCTGGGGTTGCATGGGGACCAAATCTGTATGTGGAAGCAGAGGAGCTGGCGATGCCACATTTTTGAAACGCAGCCCTCCCCCTTCAATATTCCCTGTGCTAATACACCATCTTTGCAAGTCTCCAGTCTCAAAATGTGGCCCCCACAGTGGCATGGAAGCCGTCAAAGTATAGATCCTGCGCATGTGCTAAATCTGTTGTGTTCTTAAGAACACCAGGCATGTAGACCCTGTATAAACTCCAGAGGGGAGCTTTACGCTTGTGACAAGATTCCCAAAGGCTGAGGGTAGCTTGAGAGAACTAGCCTCTTTTGAGATCGCACCAATTTCCATTTCTTGCTTATCAAAACCTAAAGACCCTCTGTTAGATTTCCCCCCAGAAGGTTTTACAAGGATCTGTCAGGATGATAAGAATTTTATTACAGTCAGAAAAATGTTTTCCACATCCTCTGTTAGTAGCACAAGCCACCCGCTGACGGATAATCCCTCCTCATTTGTCCCAGAATATTGGGAGGAGTCTTCTATCCTTGCTTTAGCATTTCCTGAGGATACACCTGAAATTTGCTTTCACATTAGTTCACCTACTTGCTTAGCCTGAATAGGGGAGAGACATGTGTTGTTGCATTTGGAACACAGGAAGTGGTCCGGTTGTGAAGATGCAGACGGGCTTTTCTTCTCCCTGCGCTCCCCCCATGTGGGAATGTTCCCGTCTGGCTGCAGCCTCTGTTCTTAAATGTGACTTTTCCCTCCATCTGAAGGGGGTTTATTTCCTTGACCCAAAGCCCCCTCCCCCGAAAGGAAGGCAGCATCTGGATCCCAAGGAAGAGCAGAGCTGCAGTCCTCCTGCGAACTGGCCCCTCCCTGGCTTGGCAGAGAGGACAAGGGAGGACCCCCTGCTCCCTGACTTGGGGGTCTCCTCCCACCAGGCATGATCTGAAAAGGGACCCCCACGCCCCCTCCCTGCCCCCCTGGGACCCCCTTCTCCCCATTGCACCCTCAGGGGGAGGAGAGAGGAGACTCACCTGAGTCCAGGAGGGGCTTTTGCAAAGGCGAGAGAAGAAGAAGGCAGGGAGGGAGGGAGGGGGAGGGGGGATTTAGCCATGGAGGACCTTCACCCCCCCTCCACTTCCTGTCCTCTCTAGGAATCCCGCTCTGCTCCTTTTAACCTTTTGCAAGCCGAGGGACCCCCTCCCTCTCCATTCCTGCACTTTTCCCGCTTCTGCCCCTGCACTTAGGGGCTCTCCTTCCCCCCCCCCTCCTCCATCTGTGCCAAGGACTCTGCCCCAAGGAGCCCACAGCTTATCCAGACTAACCGCAAGGGAGACGGGGGTTCCCCATTACTATTCTGCCACATACCCTTGGATCCACACTTTAAAGCAGCTACATATTGTTAAACTTTAGGAATTCACAAGAAGTCACATCGTTGTTTCAATCTTCTCTGTTCCAATGGCATTTCGGACCCAGGGAAGTGAGGCATAAGGGGAGGGGTGAGTGAGCCCACCATAATCCAGAGATGTACAGGGCCTTCCCAAGGAGTCATGACCGGTGAGATCCTGCCCCAAGAGTGGCAAACAGATAACCGTCTCAATCACAATGCCTACCCACTCTATAGTGGGACCAAGCCCAGACAAGACCAAGGGATGTATTTGAACTGTCCATGCTTTCCTTTGCAATGTGATGGAAGACTAGATTGATGGACGGGGCCAAGCCTGGAGCTCAGGTTCTACCTGAGACCACACCTTTTCTGTGACAGATCTATGATGCCTTGAGGATGCTTCTGGAAATGTATTGTGGGAAACCCTAATCCCCTAATCCCAGAGGGGACCAGCAGGGAAGTTTTGGAGCCAGGGAGGGGGGTGAAGGGGAGAGGCTCCATGGGGGCCCAGACTCTGAGAGGGAGAGAGTCTTGCAGGGGTCAGAAGAAGGGTCATCTAGTCCCACCCCGCGCAAGGCAGGAAGGCTTGATGGAGCGGGGTCTGGTCTGCTCTCCAGAGGGGTCTTTCCTTGCCAGCCGAGAGACGCCCTCAGGGATGGGGTCCAGTCTTTGTCCAGCAAGGGGGGTGAGCAGCCCCCAAACTAGGAAGCACCCCATGGCTCCGCTTGCCTGCGCAGCACCCACCCCCGCCTGCGCCTTGGTCCCCGGGGACAGGGCACCCCTCCAGGGGTCCGAGAGAGGAAGGTTTGCCGCCCTGCCCCCTCCCCGAGCCCCCTCCCTCCTTCCCCCCCTGCACTGCCTCATGGAGGGCAGCCTGGCAAGCCCCGGGCAGCCAGCTCAGCCTCTCTTTCCCCAGGCCCGGCCCTGCAGCCCAGAGAGGCTTCCCTTGGGGCTCTGGCAGGGGCTCCCCCATTTCCAGGGGGCAGCAGGACCCTCTGCTCCCAGACTTGGGGGTCTCCCCCTCCCCCCTGGGACCCCCTTCTCCCCCAGGCGCCCCAAGGGGGGAGAGAGAGAGAGAGAGAGGAGACTCACCGGACTCTTCCCAGGAGGGAAACCGAGGCAGCGCGGGGAGGAGACAGTCAAGAGATGCCGGAAGGGGCGCGGAGGGAGAGGACTCTGCTCTGGAGGACCCGCCCCCTGCTGTCTACTTCCTGTCCTCTCTAGGACTCCAGCTCTGCTTGATTTAACCCTTCGCAAGCTGAGCTCAGAGAGCTGGCTGCTCCCCCCTCTCAGTCCGCCCCCCACACCCAGGGGGTCCCCTCAGCCCTCCTTCTTGGGGGTCTCCCTCCGCCCCCCCTCTCAGTCCGCACCCCACACCCAGGGGGTCCCCTCAGCCCTCCTTCTTGGGGGTCTCCCTCCGCTCCCCCCCTCAGTCCGCCCCCCACACCCAGGGGGTCCCCTCAGCCCTCCTTCTTGGGGGTCTCCCTCCCTCCCCCCTCTCAGTCCGCCCCCCACACCCAGGGGTCCCCTCAGCCCTCCTTCTTGGGGTCTCCCTCCGCCCCCCTCAGTCCGCCCCCACACCCAGGGGTCCCCTCAGCCCTCCTTCTTGGGGGTCTCCCTTCCCTCCCCCTCTCAGTCCGCCCCCACACCCAGGGGTCCCCTCAGCCCTCCTTCTTGGGGTCTCCCTTCCCTCCCCCTCTCAGTCCGCCCCCACACCCAGGGGTCCCCTAAGCCCTCCTTCTTGGGGGACTCCCTTCCCTCCCCTCTCAGTCCACCCCCACACCCAGGGGGTCCCCTCAGCCATCCTTCTTGTGGGTCTCCCTCCGCCCCTCTGAGTCCGCCCCCCACACCCAGGGGGTCCCCTCAGCCCTCCTTCTTGGGGGTCTCCCTTCCCTCCCCCCCTCAGTCCGCCCCCCACACCCAGGGGGTCCCCTCAGCCCTCCTTCTTGGGGGTCTCCCTTCCCTCCGCCCCCCACACCCAGGGGGTCCCCTCAGCCCTCCTTCTTGGGGGACTCCCTCCCTCCCCCCTCAGTCCGCCCCCACACCCAGGGGGTCCCCTCAGCCCTCCTTCTTGGGGTCTCCCTCCGCCCCCCTCAGTCCGCCCCCACACCCAGGGGGTCCCCTCAGCCCTCCTTCTTGGGGGTCTCCCTTCCCTCCCCCCCTCAGTCCGCCCCCACACCCAGGGGTCCCATCCGCACTCCGTCTTGGGGGACTCCCCCCTCTCAGTACGCCCCCCACACCCAGGGGGTCCCCTCAGCCCTCCTTCTTGGGGGTCTCCCTTCCCTCCGCCCCCCACACCCAGGGGGTCCCCTCAGCCCTCCTTCTTGGGGGTCTCCCTTCCCTCCGCCCCCCACACCCAGGGGGTCCCCTCAGCCCTCCTTCTTGGGGACTCCCTCCCTCCCCCCTCAGTCCGCCCCCACACTCAGGGGTCCCCTCAGCCCTCCTTCTTGGGGGTCTCCCTCCGCCCCCCCCCTCTCCTTCCGCCCCCCCCCCCCCCGGGGTCCCCTCAGCCCTCCTTCTTGGGGGTCTCCCTTCCCTCCCCCCTCTCAGTCCGCCCCCCACACCCAGGGGGTCCCCTCAGCCCTCCTTCTTGGGGGTCTCCCCCCTCTCAGTACGCCCCCCACACCCAGGGGGTCCCCTCAGCCCTCCTTCTTGGGGGTCTCCCTTCCCTCCGCCCCCCACACCCAGGGGGTCCCCTCAGCCCTCCTTCTTAGGGGTCTCCCTTCCCTCCCCCCAGCTTCTCCCCTTGAACTCCCGCCTGACTCCTCTTCCTCTCCTCCCCACCTTCCCCTCCAAGCTCCCCCCTCAGAAAAGGCGCCTTGCCTTTTCCCGCCAAAAGGGCTGGCTCCGCCCCCCGCTGGCTTAGGAGCCAATCAGAGCGAGGCTCCAGCCCCTGGGGGGGAATTTCTGAGGGACTAAGTCCGCTGACTGGCCTGGCTCTGCTGTCCATCACAGGCCCAAGCAAGGGGGGCATCCGGCAGCTGCCCTATATCTCTAGAGATCATCTACGTCTGTCAGTTACCTGTCAATCCATTTTAGGGTTTGAGATCATTTGAAATAACTGTGCCGGGTGCCAGAGCCCTGAGGGGCCTAAGTTTAATAAACAGTAGTAATAAATGGATGGCGGAAAAGTCTGGGAAGGGGCGAGCCCCTCTCTGCCCCCCTCAAGGCTCCTCTCAGGCTCATCCAGGGTCAAAGGCCTCCTCCATTTTTGGAGGGCCAGGAAGTGAGTGGCCCCTGCAGCTTCGCCTGCTGGAAAGGGGGTGAAAGGCAAGAGGCCAACCTGGCAGGGTTGTTGTGGAAGGAGGAGCTCCAGGGAGGAAAGGAGGTGCGAGGGAAATGCCATTCTAGAATTATTATTATTATTATTATTATTATTATATATATTATTGCAAGAGGCGGGGAGTTCCAAAGGGCAGGTGCTGCCACACTAAGCCACGCAGTGCTGGAAAGGGGGTGAAAGGCAAGCGGCCAGCCTGGCAGGGTTGTTGTGGAAGGAGGAGCTCCAGGGAGGAAAGGAGGTGCGAGGGAAGTGCAATTCTGTCAGTAAAGTGCCTCTTCTCCTCCAGATGAGAACCAGGGGGGTGTATATATATATATCTAGGTAGGTAACTGAACGACTGCAAGGAATCATAAAACCCACTGACAAATACCCCTTCCTCTTGGTTCATGTGGGAACCAATGACACTGCAAGCAATAGCCTCCAGAAGATCAAAAGAGACTACGAGGCTCTGGGCAGGAAATTGAAGCAATTAAATGCACAAATTGTCATCTCATCTGTCCTCCCAGTTGAACGACGTGGCCCAGGGAGAGAGGGAAAATAGTGGAAGTGAACAGCTGGCTTCGCAAATGGTGTAAACAGGAACGGTTTGGATTCTTAGATCACGGACTGCAGTTTCTTGAAGATGGACTTCTGGCAAGCGATGGGCTGCACCTCACAACGGTTGGGAGAAATGTTTTTGCCAAAAATCTCAGAAACCTCATCAGGAGGGCTTTAAACTGACTAATGTGTTGGAGGGAGACTGTGCTCCTGACGGTAGGAGTCTATCAATTGATGAAGATGATCATCCAAATGTCATAGACCAACTGGAGCAAACAGCACGCAGACCTAGTGGTGGGAGGAAAAATCCTTAAATAAGAGACAGGGGAATGATTAATGGACTTCAATGTCTGTACACTAATGCGCAAAGCATGGGAAATAAACAAGATGAGCTTGAACTCTTGGTACAGCAAACTAAATATGACATAATAGGCATCACTGAAACCTGGTGGGATAAGTCCCACGACTGGAATGTAATAATGGAGGGATACAATCTATTTCAGAGAAACAGACCAGACAAGAAAGGAGGAGGAGTGGCGTTATATGTCAGGGATGTGTATACCTGTGAAGAGATCCAAGATTTAGAACCTCAAAGCCAAAGTGAGAGCATTTGGGTCAAAATTAAGGGAGAGAAGAATAACAGTGACCTCATTGTGGGAGTTTACTATAGATCCCCAAGCCAAACAGAGGACATAGATGATGCCTTCCTGGAACAGATGGCCAAGCATGCAAAAAGAAGGGAGATAGTAGTAATGGGGGACTTCAGTTACCCGGATATTTGTTGGATGTCAAACTCAGCCAAGAGCATAAGGTCAAACAGATTCCTCACTGGCCTTGCAGACAACTTCATTGTCCAGAAAGTGGGAGAAGCAACAAGAGGAACAGCCATTTTAGATCTGGTCCTAACCAATGTTGATGACCTGGTTAGTGGGGTAGAAGTGGAAGGATCATTAGGCGCGAGTGATCATGCTCTTCTGAAGTTTACTATACAGCGGAAAGGAGCAGCCAAGCATACTAGGACTCAATTTCTTGACTTTAAGAAAGCCGACTTCATAAAACTTAGGGAAGTGCTGGGTGAGATCCCATGGACAGTAATACTAAAAGGAAAGGGAGTTCATGATGGCTGGGAGTTTGTTAAGAGGGAGATAGTAAAAGCACAACGTCAGGCAATACCAATGAGACGGAAACATGGAAGGTGCCTAAAGAAGCCAGGGTGGCTATCTAAAGAACTTTTAACTGAGTTAAGATTAAAAAGGATGTGTACAAAAATGGAAAAGGGGAAACCACCAAAGAGGAATTCAAACAAATAGCCAGCACGTGTAGACACAAAGTCAGAAAAGCTAAAGCACAGAATGAACTCAGGCTTGCTAGAGAGGTTAAAAGCAACAAAAAAGGCTTTTATGGGTATGTTCGTAGCAAAAGGAAGAACAAAGAAACAGTGGGGTCACTCAGAGGAGAAGATGGTGAAATGCAAACAGGGGACACAGAAAGGGCTGAACTCCTCAATGCCTTCTTTGCCTCAGTCTTCTCCGATAAAGAAAACAATGCCCGACCTGAAGAATTTGGAGCAAATGATTCAGCAGAGGAAACACAGCCCAGAATAACTAAGGAGATAGTACAAGAATACTTGGCTAGTTTAGATGTATTCAAGTCTCCAGGGCCAGATGAACTGCATCCAAGAGTATTAAAAGAACTGGCAGATGTGATCTCAGAACCACTGGCAGTCATCTTTGAGAATTCCTGGAGAACAGGCGAAGTCCCGGCAGACTGGAGGAGGGCAAATGTTGTCCCTATTTTCAAAAAGGGAAAAGAGAGGACCCAAATAATTACCGCCCAGTCAGTCTGACATCAATACCAGGGAAGATTCTGGAGCAGATCATTAAGCAAACAGTCTGTGAGCACCTAGAAAGGAATGCTGCGATCACCAATAGTCAGCATGGATTTCTGAAAAATAAGTCATGTCAGACTAACCTGATCTCGTTTTTGACAGAATTACAAGCCTGGTAGATGAAGGGAACGCAGTGGATGTAGCCTACCTTGATTTCAGCAAGGCATTTGACAAGGTGCCCCATGATATTCTTGTAAAGAAGCTGGTAAAATGCGGTCTTGACTATGCTACCACTCAGTGGATTTGTAGCTGGCTGACTGACCGAACCCAAAGGGTGCTCATCAATGGTTCCTCTTCATCCTGGAGAAGAGTGACTAGTGGGGTGCCACAGGGTTCTGTCTTGGGCCCGGTCTTATTCAACATCTTTATCAACGACTTGGATGATGGACTCAAGGGCATCCTGATCAAATTTGCAGATGACACCAAACT